TTCTCTCCTTTTAATGTTAAATATCAGCCTTACAATACGTTTCTGCAAAATAAACACTCTGGACGCGGTGCATGCTTGTCCCCAGACGATGGTGTGATTTGACAGATGCGAATCTATTAGCGTTGATTTGGGGACATTTGGCTTTATTTCCAATATCGCATAGTAGGACGTAACTCAATACCCAGGAAGGTCGTAGAGTTTGAGATAGTACTATTAATGAGACATGGAGTAATGGAGTAAAAGTGAACAACTACCGTCTTGTCAGCATTCAAGATCAGACGATTTGTTTGGCACCACTCTTCTATCTCAGATTTTATGATTCCAATGTTAAGGTACAGATCTTCAGGCGAATCTGCAATTACTACAGCCGATGTGTCGTCAGCGTAGTTCACTATTGCACCTTAAAGCTTCAGATCGTTTATAAATAGTGGTGCCAATACAGATCCCTGAGCTGCACCTATATTTATGTTATAGGTAGCTGACTGCGCATCGTTCACTCTTACTCTAAGTTCCCTGTCTGTCAGGAAAGACACTAGCCAGTCCAGCAAGAAGTCTCTAATACCTATATTGAAAAGTTTCTCCCTTAGCAAATCTACATTAATGATCTCAAACGCTTTCTACAAGTCGAAAAATACTCCAGCAACTAGATGACCCAAGTCTATTGCTCGGTATATGTGGTTAATAAACTCAAAAGAGGCTGTCTCAATCGAGCGTGATTTCCTGAACCCATGTTGGTTATTGGAGATGATGTTGTATTTTTCAGTATAGCTTAGCTATGCGCGCGTGCAGCACTTTCTCAAATATCTTTGAGAAAACTGACAGAAGAGATATCGGACGGTAGTTTTCGACTTGAGAGGGATCTCCCTTCTTCAATATAGGTACCAAAATGGCCAATTTAAGATTTTTAGGAAATTTACCTCGTTGCACCGACATGTCTATGAGCACCGCTAGTGGACTTGCAATTTGATGACACACACTTTTAACTATTCTTGTTGGCACACCATCACTTCCACACGACTTACTATTTCGAAGGTTGTTTATCACATTGGTCACTTCATCTTCGGTAGTTTCGCTGTATAATATTGACCGAGCTAGTGAGGTTGTTGACAGACTTGTTGTTGTGGGCTGCCTTCCAAAGTGTACATGGAGCTTCTTCTCTGCTACTGTAGAAAAATACCTACCAAATGCGTCGGATGTACCTTCGCTTCGCAGACCTCCAACGGATCCTATATTTAAGATTATTTGATTGGTACAGCTGCTTCGTCCTAGTTCTTTGTTTACAATTTCCCATACCTTCTTCGATATATTTTCTGCATTTGCAATTAGAAGTTCATGATATCGTTTTTTAGTAGTTGTTAGTAATTTTCTGGGTTTACTTTTTCTTTGTAGGTAATGTTGTCTTAGTTCGGAGCTATCTTTGTTATTTTGCAGGAGGGTGTGTATTTCTTTCAAATTTTTACTGGAGGATCTCATTTCCTCCGTTATCCAGGCTTTAGTCTGTGAGTTCTGCTTAAAAATCGCTACTCTTTCTGGACACTCGGTATTAAAATACCATAAGAAAGTATTGATGAAGTTTTCAAACGCCGTGTCTATGTCTCCATCTTCAACTATCGACCAGTGTTCTTGAGACACGTTGGCTTTAATGTTCTCAAGGTTTTCACTTTTTATTGTTCTTATCCGACGTAACTTGCTAATGTTTTTAGTGGATTCGCTGGTTGACGTGATGGAGATCGAGAGCATTTGGGCAGTGTGGTCGGATATACGTGGATCAAATACTGTACAAGTGATGAATTGTGGACTGAGATTTGTCGTCATGTAGTCTATTGACGTATTGGATATAGTGTTATTCCTGCTGATGCGTAGCGTGTAGGTTCGCTGCAGTGATTTACAAGGTTGAACGAATCTAAAATGTCTCGAAGCATCATGGTGTTTATAGTTGGGCGAGAATAGTCAATGTTTAGATCGCCGCAAAGAATAATCTTGTCGCGTGTGGCTGATATGTGATCGAGAATTTCCGAAAGACTCTCGAGAAAGGGTCTTATGTTACCAGATGGCCGGCGGTATACACATATTACTATTAGGTTCTTTTTTGTGCTTTGCAGAGTAGCTATTGTACCATTGCATTCGATGTGTCGTTCTACGGAAAACTTTTTGACACATGGAAGTTCCTTGGTAGTCACGAATACAGCACAATCACCATGGATATATTGGCTTCTGCAGAAAGTTGCTGCGTTTGTATACCCCTTAATATTAGCTACACTTGCTGCATCAGACGACAGCCATGTTTCCGTGAGGCATAGTACATCAGGTGTTGTCTCATCAACAAAAACATCGAGAGCGTCATATTTGTTCTGTATGCTACATACATTAAGATGTACTATTTAGAATATGTTAATTTTTGTGAGGCTGTTCGATGAAAAAATGATTTCTGTACGTCCTTAATTCCTTTCGCTTTACTTGAAGTTGACGGTTCTTTCAATGGTGGTAGGAGATGTTGTTCCTTGTTGCCCGGATATGTAGAGCTTGTTAAAGATGTTCTTTGCAACATTGGGAATTCCTGTATGACCTGATTGGCTTGACCACACTCATCGGCAGACTTTTTTCTAGCAGGCAATGTCGCGTTCACAACGGCGGGATTTTGGCTTATTTTATCGGCTTTCACTTTTTTGAGGTAATGATATCTTTTAATATGTTGCATATCATGTGTTTACCAGCATTATTAAACATGTTTGAGTTTTTCTTGAAGTGATAATCGACTCTTTGCTGGAGTGTGTTTGTGTGGCCGTTTGCTTTGTTAGAGCTGCATCTGTTTGTGTGTTTTTGTTAGAAACCACGGTGTTTCCTTTAACTTTCTCAATTATTCCTTTGAGATGTTCTATCGTTTTATCCTTGTTCAGGACTTCCATTTTAACTTTCAACTTTGCAGTGAGATCATGCATATCTTCAATCTTTGCTAATTCTGAGGCTAGCTTATTCCTAAGATCTAACAACAACTCTTCTTGGGTGTACGTTTTATTATCCACAGAATTGTATTGTTCTGTATGTTCTTTTTCGATTTTGTTTGTTGTCTTGTATTCATTCTTTCAGTAGCTCTGAGAATTTTTGGCACACTTGGCATCACAGCAAAGGTATCGTGCCTAAATTTTCTGGTATGCTGAGTTTTTGAGGTTACAAGCTGCAATGTTTTCTTGAACAAAGTTTGCGTTTTTCTTACCCGTTTTTTAGTATCTGCGTACATTCCTGTTTTAATCTACATCCAGTGAACTGTAGAAATTATATTACACATTAAAACTGTTTAAAAACAAAAACGGAAAATCAGTGGGTTTAATTTTTGACGTTGCCACATGAAAGTTTAGTGGATCAAAACAAATCGCATACTGGAACTTCACGATAAAAATACATACATGGTGGACATACTTAAAAACATCATCAGATTCACAACGTGACTGCTCAACGCACGCATGAACTAGGGCATTATTAAAACATATCATTGCACCTTGCAGATGTCGGATGTAACTGGTCATGGTGCATGAACTAGAAGGCTGCTTTCAGATATTAAGTGCTGGATTAAATTTCAAGATTTGGTCGAATAAAAAAATATGCAGAAATCAAAAAAGTCAAAAATGACACTGACCGACAAATGTGAGCCGACTTTCTTACCCAGCAACTGCGAAAATCAAAAGTTCGCCAAATGACAAAGTTAAAAATCGCTTTAAAATAAACTAATCTCAAAACACTATTCGAGCTCTTGCAAAGCAAAGCTCAAACTTTAATTTAGATAGTTATAATAATTTCAACCGAGTTTTATGCAGTGAGTATACTCATTTTCAGGAATAATGAGACATTGAATCGAAACTTGAAAATGGTCAGCCTTTGAGAAAAGTTACTGTTGTATTTTTCATACGGAATAACCCAAAAAACATGATCAAAAATTGTCCAAGCCAAGACTTGTTCAAACAAATTACCTGACGTGATTTACCAATGCTACATAGGATCGATGGTTTGTGAGATTTTCGATCAAACGCGTTTATCAAAATGGCGGAAAATCCTTCAACCTTATCTGAACGCTAATTTGAACTTATCTCGAGGGAGCAATAATCTAACGATATTACCAAAAATATTCACTGGGACAACAATTGTAGGCAAAAATTATATACATCTCCTGGCCTACGAATAGATGCAGAGATCGAATATTTGTTTTGACACGGAAGAAGTGAGGTTTTCAATAGACTTCACTATATACTAGCTGCCTCATTTGAAGGATGAAGAATACATGGATGGCAAAGGTATATCCTGAACCTCTGTCTGTAGCCTGTCCCTTTACGACTACTGAAATGAATGATATCCAAATGAAGCATCCAGAAGCTAAATTAGCGCACTCCGTGTGTAAGTCGAGGTATTCATGAACACCATTATGAATAATCCATGAGTTATTTGATGGTACAACGCACGTAAACTAGCACGACGTCTACATAGAACTAATTAGGATATTGCGGCGATGTTTGAATCTTATGAATATCTTGTTAACTAACCCGAACATGATGATTTTCTTCTACAAATTCTCATCTTTTGCAGTTATTTGGGCTCTTTAGTCCCCATTATGTTTGACGTCGGACGCGACGTGACGTTAACAGCTTCTACTTCCGGCATGAATGAGAAGATCTAATATTTATTTATTTATACATCACCCAACACAAAAAATCAACGAATCAGTAATGTGTATAATGAATCATACTTGACTGTGGACAATTGAAAAACATTTTCCCAGGTCAGTCAATTACGATCACCATACAAGTGCTCCAAATTATATTATATCTGTACCGAAACTTACAAAAAATGTTGGACGAGAAAGTAAAGAATACCTCCATATTAGGAAACTGAAAAGATAATTGAGGGGATGGATTCTAAATCAGCTTAGACTTTCGATTCATCAGGTGCTAGATATGAGAAATTATTATTTTTTCATTTTATTTTATTCATATATTTCTCAACAGATACATGATCCAATTACAGAGAAACACTATACTAGTATCAAAAAGCCAATAGACACACATACAAAAAATAATATCATGGATTGATGATACTAAAAAACCCTATGTGTGTGAGTGTGTGTATCAGAAATCCAACACAAAGCCCCATAAGTGAAGTAGTAACACACGCTAATTAATATAGTTCTGAACGTTAATTCTACTCCTAAAATAGATAAAGAATAAGATTAAAAGGAACTGCAAAGCTGAAAATAGTTTACGTCACTGAACGGTTTTTAAGTATGACAATTTTTTTCTTTTATGTACATATATGTTTGCTCATATCAAAGTCAAAAAGATGACTAACCTCGTTAAAGCATTCCAACATTCTGTATGAAGGGGATGCTAGCATAGTATTTATTGAAGCTTTTGGAAGATAAAACATGGTGTAGTTCTATTCAACCTAGGCACACAAAAGTTTAAGTTCAACAAAATTTCACTACAGTGAATCCGAATGCAACTTATGCACAAAGCAGCAGCTTAACAAAAATCTTCTCTGTTCACGACTGACCATGACAAAGTGATTCAAAAAGTCCTTCTTTGGATAGTTGAATGGAGAATATGCACCATATGCTTTTAAATAAAGATATTTAAAAAATTTAGTTTGGGTCTTCTCCACTTTAGATATTCATATATGTAACGTATAAAGGAGACCAGATGATACAACCATATCCAAGTAAGCTTCTAACTAAAGTGAAATACAGTAGTTTTAATCATTCTATATTAGTAAAAGATCTGCAATTTCTAACAATGAATCCAAGCATACGTGAAGCTGGTTTGTCTATTTGATTCAAGTGCGTTGAAAATGACAGATCCGCAGTAATAGTAATGCCTAAGTCTTTTGCTTCCTGTACTCTGTCAAGTTTGTGATTGTCCAGCATATAATCATATCGTATGATAGACTGTTTTCTGGTAATGGACATTACTTTACACTTGCTAGGATTAAGCATTAAATCATTATTCCATCCATTTTGTTTTTCTGATAACATATTACTTATAACGGGTGTTTTTTTAGAGGTATAGAACTTTAAATTGGAATAAAACAACAATGGATTATTTGAATGACGTAATTTTTTTTTATTCGACAGATAATCTTGTGTCTTGAGTTCGCGTACGAAGTGTATGGTAGCGTTTTCAGTTCTCTCAAAAAAGTCTAGTTTTAGTGGACAAAATTTACCTGTGTTACACCGTGTATGCAAATCATAAAGATGTCATACGTGATACAAAAAGGTTAAAGCAGTAAGTCATCATTTATGAATAAAATTTGATAATTGGAGAACTAGTGCGAATGATTACTGATCACATAAGGCTCAGTTTCCTCTAAAACGCAAATCGCTTGTTGTGTACTATTATTTTTTGTCGGAATGACCAGTGGTGGCGACTTGAGTAACAGCGAGCTGCTATCAGAATTGGTAGCAATAATAAAAAAGGAAAGTGATGCGATTAAGAATGAGATTAGACAAGATATCCAAGAAATTAGAAGAACAAACGCGAATCTGCTGGAACATATAAAACAACAAGACACAAAAATAGATCATTTACAGACAGTGTGTAAGGATTTGGAGAAAGAAAATTTACAGCTGGAAAGGGCGATACGAAAAAACAACATACTTCTGTTTGGCTTAGAAGTTGATACAAGGACCACTAGCTTCCAAAGTACAGCAATTCAGAAATTAAATGCACTGTTAAAAATAAATATATCCACTGGAGACCTTAAAAATATTTATAGTATTAAGTCAGGTAGGAGCTGTCCTATAAAAATTGAGTTCGTGTCATACCTCAAAAAGCAGGAGGTTTTCCAGAACGTACACAAACTTAAAAACAGTGCTGTATTCGTTGTACACGATCTATGCCCAAAAGATCGAGAAACAAATAGAATCCTTCAAAAACACCGGAAAGCAGCGAAGGAGAAACAATATTCGGCAAAAATAATCGGCAACAAACTGATCATCAATGGCGACGCATACACTGTTGATCAGTTAGAACGAGATAGGTTCATGACGCAGTCAGACAATAACACGAGCGCTCCAACTACACCTGTTATAGATCCGATTGGCGACGTATTTGACCACCCCAGTGACAATGAGTTAGTCAACATATTACCAGAGAACTCTGTCACACGCGCCAGCATCTCACCCGACAGCAAGCCACCGGCTAAGAAGGCGAAACAGGAATTTGCTAAACCGAATTCTAAAGGCCAGCCCCCGAGAATAACTAGACTGCAGAGTCAATCCAAGTCTAATTGAGTGAAATACGGCGACTTTTATTTGAAGTGTGATAATTTAAGTGTTGTGACGCTACTGATCTATCTGGATTTCTTAATCATGTTCAATCATCACTAGTTGTTTTATCTGTATATCTTAGAAATGTGTAGTATCTTTCTTTGATTTCATTGGTATCAAACATGTCTTACTGATTTTCTTTTGTATGCGATGCTGTTCTCACATTTAAATGTTCGATCTATATTTTCTGGACTAGAAACATTAAAAAATTACATTTTAACTTCTGATGTAGATGTTTTAGGTGTTTCAGAAACATGGCTGTCTAGGAATATCAGCTCTGATGCTATAGGAGTGAATAATTATCAGGTAGAGAGGGTAGACAGAGACAGCAGGGGAGGAGGCTTATTGTTCTTTGTGAAAAATAACATTAAATATTGTACGTTACATAAAAGTAGTAATCAGGATTTGGAGCAGTTATGGATACACACTAAACTATATGGCAAGATACACATTTTTGGTGTCATTTATAGGCCTCCTAAAGGCAATATCACTGAATTTCTCAATGCTATGGATGAGTCTCTTTCCCAAATGATTCCGAGCTGTGAAGAAATTTGTATTACTGGAGACTTCAATATCGATTTTCTCAACCAAGGCACAGCTGTTCAGAAATTGAATAAATTGTTTGATTTATATAACTTGAAACAAATAGTCGATGTCCCTACTAGAATAACTCCTACCTCACAGACATTGTTAGACCTTATTATAGTTAGTGAAACGTTAAATATTAGTTTCCATGAAGCTCTAAGCCTGCATGATACATTTGATCATTTTTTAGTTTCGTGCCACATCTTTGAGAAAAACTTGATTTCAAATCCGCCAAGAGTCATTAAGGCCCGCTCCTGGAAGCATTTCAATGATGAATTTTTTAATAATATGCTGCATTTTATTAATTGGGATACAATTTATACCTTCAACAATGTCAATTTAATGGTCGAATTCTTAACTAGAGAATTAATACGTCTTTTCGATATGTGTTGCCCTGTATATGAATTTAGAGTCACCAGAAACTTCTCACCTTGGATAACGGATAATATAAAGCTTCTAATGAAATTGCGCGACAAAGCTTTTTGTAAGTTCAAAATAAGTCGTCAACCTTCTCACTGGGACTATTATAAGGAACTCAGAAATTATACAAAAGGGGCCATACAGCGTGAGCAGAAAGCTTATATTGAATTTTCTATGAAACAGAGAAATATAAAAATGACTTGGCATCGGCTACGTCAAATAGGAGTTGTCAAAAACAGTACAAATTCCATTCCTCAACACCTTTCTAATCCAGATACAATAAATGCTTACTTTTCAAATCTACCCAAAGTTCATAGAACTCAGTCTCAACTAGATTTGTTAAATGCGTACAAAGAACCTCGCAGTAACAACTTGTTTTCTTTCACTTCAGTAGATGCTGCATTAATTTAAAAAAACATAAGAAGCATTAAATCTGATGCAGCAGGACATGATGGTATTTCCAAGAAAATGCTATATGTTTTTGAGGATCATCTACTGTACCACATTACCTATATTATTAACTTTTGTTTATTAAACTCCGTTTTTCCAGAAGCGTGGAAGATTTCAAAAATCATCCCAATTCCCAAGGTATCTGTAATAGAAGGTATTAAAGATCTGAGACCAATCAGTATTTTACCAATACTCTCCAAATTATTGGAAATGGTCATAAGGCAGCAAATCTCGGAATTTGTTATGGCAAACAAAATTATACCACCGATCCAATCTGGATTTCGAGCCCAACATGATGCGACAACTGCACTGGCATGTATAGTTGATGACTTCTACAAATCACTTGACAAAGGTAATGTTATGTGTTTGATTCTCTTGGACTTTAGTAAAGCCTTTGATACCCTAGATCATAATATATTGTGCATGAAGCTGAAGTACTTTGGATTTGCAGATAATGCGGTAAATTTAATAAGGGACTACTTAACTAGTAGGTACCAATACGTATCGGTAAACTCTTCATCTTCTGACAAAAGAATGATTACAATGGGGATACCACAAGGGTCCATATTAGGCCCTTTACTATTTTCTTTATATATTTCAGACTTTTATAACTACGTAAAAACTTGCAAAATACATCACTACGCGGATGATACACAATTGTACTTCAGTTTTCAGATTGATCACATTTTGAACTCCTACTCTTTGATTAACGACGATATTAATATGTTATACAATATATCAATTGCACATAATCTAAGCCTTAATGCCAACAAATCAAAGGCAATGCTGTTTGGCTCTAAACAAAAACGTATGATTTCTAAGCATTCGTTTAATCTGAACATTAATAACATACCATTACCTGCAGTGGATGAGAGCAAAAATTTGGGATTGTGGTTTGATTCAGATCTGCGATTTAGTGTCCATGTCAATAAAATTTCCTCCTCAGCCTATAGTATGCTTAAGCAATTATATCCACAGCGTCGTGTTTTAAATAGTAGCTTGAAAATGAAGTTGTGTGATGCCCTTATAATTTCTCGCCTATCTTACTGTGACAGCATATATGGCCCGGCTCTTTTAAAAAATGATTGTTTAAAATTACAGCGAGTACAAAATTCGTGTCTGCGCTTCTGTTTTGGTATAAGAAAGTTTGATCACATAAGCCATATATTCAAACAACACAACATTCTAAGTTTAGATAGATTGAGAAAATTGCATTTCCTATCACTAATCCACAAAGTTCTCGTGAACAAAAAGCCGGAATACCTTTTAGATAGAATTTCAAAGTTTGAAAATATCAATACATTATATACTAGAAATAGGCGAATGATCGTTATACCACCCCACTCAACATCAACCTTTAAACGCAGCTTTTCATATAACGCAGCAAAACTATACAATTGTCTCCCAAATGATTTTTATGACTTCTCTTTATTGAACTTTAAGAAAAAGCTAAAGAATTTGTATCTGTCTGAAGTGTGAAGGATCCTATATGCTGACTCTGTTTACGCCCACTACTTTTCTACTTGTCTCTCTTTTATTCTTATTCTATTAATTGTTGATACAAAATACTTTTTCGTTACCTTCAAAAATGTATTATGATTTGCTGATAGTACGTTGGTAGCTACACCAGCAACAAAAGACTTTTAATCCTACGTTCCATTGAGAAAGTTATGGTAGTTAAATGGATGAGCTGAAACTCACTACATTTTATACATACAGTTATTATGACTATCATTAATACTTATGTTTATCTCTATTATTGTATGATATGTGTATGTTCCTGATACAGATACAATTTTTTATTTGAGGTTGAGTTGAAAAATACCCCTAGGGTAACACTCCACCTTTTCAATTTTGCACCTTTGCGGCTTTCAAGATATCATTCTTTTGTTTTATTTTATGCATGCAAAGTTGAATAAAGGCACATTATTATTATTATTTATTATTATAAATGCCAGAACACCGCGGCTGCTATGATGATCCCAAAGAAATTTTGTTAATACGATTTTTGAACTGCCTAAGGTTAGTAGAACTGGGTAAAGCTTCTTCTTCCTCGGGAGAAAGGAGCGGTCGTATCGGCCAGTTCTGGATGTACGAATTTTGACACGGTTAGGATGGGACGCCGAAGTCAGGCGGGTCTGTCTGGCAGGCACATCGCGCGGCGGCATCATGGAAGAGAGCTCTGAGGAGCAAAGACCGTTGGTATAGCGATACAAAGGAGCTAGATTGCCGACGGCCCGCCGATGCGAAAGAGTCCCGAGACTGTCTGTTAGAGAAGAGTCATCGATCAGTCGGACCGCCCTCGTCTGGACAGCATCGAGCATGGACAATGTAGTCTTGGCGGCAGCACCCCAAATGTGTGAGCAATACTCGAGGCTAGGCCTTATCTGTGCCTTGTATAGAGTGAGAAGGTCATGCGGAGAAAAGTACTTCTTAGCCCTAAACAAATAGCCTAGCTTTTTCCCAGCAGCTGCAGCTATTGACGTACCAGATCAGGTCCTCGGTGATCTGGACTCCGACCAGCCGAAACGAAAGTCTCTTTGGTAGAACTCGACCGTCCATCGAAACTGTATGAGCGCTAGGACGCTTTTTGTTCGTCAAAGTGTCTTGGAAGCATTTCGATGACGTTTGGCAACATTTGTGGCCGTATGTCGGCAATAAAATGGCGACTGTTGTCTTCTAAATGGTCAAGCGTTTGTAGCGTATCCGCATAGACCAACGACTTTACATAGTCCCACAGAAGATAGTCTAGCGGTGTTAAATCACAAGATCTTGGAGGCCAATAGACAGGTCAAAAACGTCAAATTAGGCGGTCATCAAACGTCTTTCAATAAATCGATTGTAGCACGAGCTGTGTGACATGTTGCGCCGTGTTTTTGTAACCACAGCTCCTGGACATCATGATTGTTCAATTCAGCAATGAATAAGTTAGTAATCATGACTCTATACCGATCACCATTAACTGTAACGTTCTGGGCATCATCGTTTTTGAACAAGTACGGACCAATGATTCCACCAGCTCATAAAGCGCACCAAACAGTCAGTTTTTCTGGATGTAACGGTGTTTCGACATAGAATTGAGGATAAGCTTCACTCCAAATGTGGCAGTTTTGTTTGTTGACGTAGCCATTCAACCAGAAGTGCGCTTCATCGCTAAAGAAAATTCGCTTATGAAAATGGGGAACAACGGCAATCTCGTTTTGGGCCCACTCAACGAATCTACGCATTGATTGATGATCGTTTGGCTTCAATTATTTCACGAGTTGGATTTTGTTAGCACGCAAACCAAGATCCTTCCACAAAATCTTCCATAAAGTGGATAGACACAGATCCAATTCCTGTGCTCGATGGCGGATGGACTCATTCGGGTCTTCCTCAATGCTACGCTCTACAATAGCTTCTTCTGTACGCACCGTACGGCATCTCTGGGGATGAGAGTTATCAACTAGAGTAAACGTGGTGCGAAAACGTTCCATGGTTAATCGAATTAACTGCTCTGATGGACGATTTTGTCGACGATAAAATGGACGTAGTGCGCGATACGTATTCCGCACAGAACCATTACTTTCGAAATGAAACTGCACAATTTGCAAGCGTTGTGCAGCCGTGAGTCTATTCATGATGAATTGCCAAACCAAACTGAGAATAAATCACTTGACAGGTGTCAAATCGGTCGCCATCTTCAAAAGTAATGCCAACTTAAAGTTCTATACCTCGAAAAAAAAACACCCTTTACATACGAGCGATATTGCCGTATAATTCTTTACATCATTCACTTTTCCGCTCTTAAAAATAGGACATACCTTGGAGGCCTTCCAGCAGTTCGGAAAGACACAATCTTGAAGCGATTTGTAGAAAATTTTACAACAGCTCTAATGCAGTCTTTCACAATGTATGTCGGGACTCCGTATGGACCACTAGATGGCTTAGGCTTTAGTTTTTTGCGGGCTCTTACTATACATTCTTCGCTAAAAACAGGGACTGGAGAGATTCAGGACTACATGCTTCTTGGTCTATGTCACAAGTAACAGGTGAATCGAAATATACGGTTTTAAAAAAATCAGCAAAGCCTGATACAATGGATACATTGGGGGTCATGAAAATTTTGGTCACCATAAAACATGTCGACAGGTATTCTAGAGTCCTTTCTTTTAGAGTTTATAAAAGTCCAAAATTATTAGAAGGATTATCTTGAACATTAGCTATGTAATTTTGGTATGCATGGCTAACATTCAACTTTATCTTAGATCTAAGAAGTTTAAAGTCATTATATTGCTCCAAATTCCCAGTTTCCTTAAACTTTTTGTAACACTGGCGCTTTTTTTATATCCCTGATTATATCTCTCATATACCATCTTGGATAACGTCTTACGGATTGGTTTTATATCATTAAATCTAATAGCCTACCATTACAACATTGTACTGGCGGTTAAAATTGAAAAAAACCTAAAAAGTTGCTAAGTAATTCACACTTGATGTCTGTCTGTTCCTTGATGCCACCCGTCCTAGCCCTTGTTCTGTCACACCGCATTACAGAGTGCTGACCATCAAATATTTCAGAACTGTGTACACTGGGAGTTAGCCAGGTCTCGGTTATTGCATATAAATCATATTCTGACAAACTACCTTGAGCAAATAACTCATCTATTTCTGAGTTCATACCCCTGATGTTTTGATAAAACATAGATAATTCATTTGTCTTACCATAAGCTGCACTGGTGGGTTTATTCTAATTTAGATTTGGTTTAATTTTCACATTTAATTTTCACAATCTTAGGGACACCTTCAAAGTATTTAATTTGTAGGTCACTTTCACCGTTCTGTCTTCGCTCTTCAAATTCTTTTTTATTATTTTTATGTTGATTCATCTGCATGGGAGAGCGGTCATTCACGATCATAATATTCTTGAAAGTTTCATTATCTTTGATTAGTTGGAGGCTCTTGAATACCATTTTTACCTTTGATTCGCAGTTCACTATTAGACGAGGTCTGTTGGTGGTTGAGGTTTTGCCAATCCTAAAGTGTTTAATACCAGGTGGTGCAGAGTTAATTTTGACCAACTTGAGCATATCCGAGACTAGCTCTTTTTCTTCATTACGATCATCTTGTTCAGGCAAACCAAAAATTATAACGTTATTTTTCCTTACATTACGCTCTTGAATTTCCTAGACGACCTGTTCAGCCGAGTAACGTGCTGACGCATTGGTGCTCTCCGACCTCGATGCAGAACCATTGGTTTTGGCAAGCAACTCCTCAACTTTTTGTTTCAATTCTTTAGCTTCTTCTCTTAGCTCGGGAACTTGAGAGAAACTTTTCATTTAGCAATTGTAAATTTGAAGCTTCTTTCAAAAAGAACTGTCATGTGAGATTGTATATTGATTAGGTGCTTAAGTCTCGTGTCAAGATTATGGACATCGGCGTGACATGACACCTTTTGGTAGAGATAGGGGGGGTACTTATAATACAGTATCTTGTGAAATAAGCAGAGAGCATATCAGCGCAATCTATTCTCCATGTTTAGCCAATTCAATTCCTTCAATTTGTGGGAAACGCGATCATACTTTTTTAATCCCATATATGAATCGAATGCACGAGTTCTGTACACGTTGAATACGATTAACACTGTTTTGATCGAAACATGGACCAAATACAGGTGCACAATATATAGATTGTGAAAGTACTAGCGTATCGCATAATATTTTCTTAGTGTCTGTTGATAAATATGATCTATGGGGATATAGTAATTTTAGCGATGCGTATGCTCTCTGTATGCATTTCGTTATGTGATCCCTGAACCTTAGATCCGGATTAATGAGTAAGCCCAGATTCTTTGCCTTACCTGTAATTTCAATGACAGTATTACTTACATCTAATTTCAAGTTTGATTCCAAATTCTCCACCCATTTGACAACACTGCGATCTAGAAATTTCCCTGCAAATACTGACAGTTTTAGCCTACTGGCAACGTCAGCCATGCTATTATGCTGGTCAGCTAGAACAATGTAGCGGTAAGCGCTTTTGACCAAATTGCAATGTTTTGGTTTTTGTTATGGCTTATTACCCTTATTTGTCTTCTACCTCACCGATAGATATCAATACGTATCTTATAATGGCACCAAGCCAAGTGTATTTGTGGTGAGCTCCGGTGTGCCACAGGACTCCGTACAATAGCCCTTACTCTTTCTCCTGTTTACTACATTTCCGAGAAATTGAGTGTAAGTTGTCAACTCTACTCTGATAATAATAATAATAATAGTAATAACAATAATAATTATTATAATAATAATGTTTATTGTCAAACAATATAAAAAATTGCAATAGACAGGTAGTCTCAAAAAAGTTTAATAAATTGTGCATGCGGTCAAAGCCTTATACCAAACTATTACATATGATTGAAAAAGACATATATGAACGTTTCTGACAGCTTCGGGGTTTGTTCTCAACATTCAAAATAATTTATGTCATCAATATTGTAAATCAGTAAGTACAGCAGTAGATCACGGACCTGTGTTGTTTTGCTCCTTGTTAATTCCGTTATTTCGGTGAAAATATATCGATTTAAAATTTCGTTTTTCCGCAAAACAGTTTCTTTTTGTTGATCAGTTAAAAGCGATTAGTAAAATAGTCGAAAATTGCGTCGACGGGTGTGTTTGACCGTAATTTTGTGCATCTCCATAATTCTTGCAAACGGCAAAAACAGTTAGGTGTTTTTAGCGCTGATCCAGTCGCCTGATATCTAGGAAAGAACAGGTCAGGATTTATTTATTTTACAATGAGTGCCCGAATGAACTGTTCGAGCAAAGATCCGAAGATCAATTGTGACAGATGTACTTACGCTCTTTGTGAAAAGTATTATAATTCTCTTCCTGATTATCTTAAATCATGCAATCCACATACATTCAAGGAACTAGTTTCGGATTACTTTATGAGCAATTAAATTATTACAACTTCCAAGTTTAACTCAGGTGACCCTATGTGTGTTTTTTGGTTAGTTAGGTTAGGATATTTTTCTTACATGTATTCTACTACTGGCAAGGGTTGAGTGGAAGAACACCTCTAGGTGAACTCCCCCTTGAGGTTTTCCCAATACCATGATTTTGTTTCTCATGTGTGTGTGTGTAAAATGTACGTATATGATGGAAAAATTAAGAACATTATTATTATTATTATTATTATTATTATTATTATTATTATTATTATTATTATTATCATTGACCAATTGTATAGGCCTGCTTGGCTCACCTTAGCTATTTAGTTTTTTTTGTGTTATAAATTTCCGTGGTCAACCTTTTTATAATAATCTTTTATGAATTGACGACAGCCTTGCGAGGGAGGTGCAGAGTCCACCTACTTAATGCCATTTTTCAGTGAAAATTTATCTCGTTTGCAGTACTATTTTTCTTTTCCACATCATCATCTCACATTATATACTGAGTAATAAAAAAAGGTAAAGACCTACGTACGTTTATCCGATTTTAATAATTGCTTGGCATGTATGTTCAGTGTCCCGTACTAGTAAAATGATTAAATTTTCAACTTGATTCGTAAACTGACTGAAGATGCTGGTTCAATAATGTGTTGAGGATCCACGATTTCTTATATTATACTCCTTGACACGCCTGGGCATCGTGCTGATAAGGTGGTTGATATCCTGTTCGGGTATCTCATTCCAGGCCACTACAACTTCGTGAGTAACAAAGAAGCATCAAGAGCGGCAGTCGCTTCAAGCAGAAGTGTGATTCGAACACCCTACCAAGATTTGAAAGGACTAATAAAAGTGCACATAACCAGTCTTTGACAACAGAAATGGAATGGCAGTCACAGCAAACTACTCGCAATTGCTCCAGATGTCAACACGCGATTCACCCTACCTTCAGGAAGAAGGAACCAGATAATTATGTCACGTCTCCGGATAGGCCACACACTAGTGACTCACAAGCACGTCTTCGAAGGAACCGATGCCCCAGTTTGTTCAACGTGCAACCAGCGGCTCACGGTGGTTAAACTACTTATTAAAATGCCAGAAGTCTCAACCACCTTTCTAATGACATCAGTGAAGTGTTACTGCATCAAACCGATAAACTTGTGAATTTATTAAAGACATTGACATGTACTTCAATACATAGATTATTGTGCGGTCCACGCCGTTAATAACCCTATGAGGTTGATGCGGTACTATCTGTTAAATAAAAAAAAAACTTCGTGAGTAAGAGCTGCTAAAGAATGTGGAGGGTGTTGAAAATTCAAGCGCCTGCGACCTATCATGTCCCAGACATGTTAAATTGGAGATACGTAAAAAAATTTTTTGTCACTCAGTATATTTCCTCAAAAAGTTTTGTCCTGTTCAATGATATTTCTTTCCTTGCGGAACGTTACAGAAAATCCATTGTTTTGACATTTCATCATGCGTACTGCAATGGGACAGATCGTAACCTGGCTAATATACGGTGTTCAGCAAAATCACTATACAGCATCTACAGTAATTGCCCTCAATGGCTGCTCCCAGACTATTGTTAACCAGCCCGAAGATGAGCATTTACAAACTCTCGTACTCGATTATCCTCATTATATTTGCCGCCCGACGTGACATTTCCAGCTTCAATTCGCGTCGTTGGAAATAATGATTCGGCGGTAGGTAGTGGCAAGGTCAAGGACATGCAGCGAGGTCGATTAATTTAATTCTTATTACTGTGACTTTCAAGGTCAGACATCCTATCAAGGGAAAAGGAGTCATATACTAAGCAACGTCACCAGTTTGTACCGTACCTACTATAATACCAGAATTGGCAGCATCTAGCGGGCACAATGGTGACAATGAGAACTGTTCCAACGGACAGCTTGCTGTTTTCACTGCCAAGATCGATTTTGGTAGTAGATGGCGCTTTGTGTTGTATCATTTCAGAATCGGTTAAATTAGAAGCTACTTTCTGACAGAAAGTTATTTCCAATGAAAATAATAGTACAGAAAAATAATCAGAAAACAAAGATCCTTTAAAATAATAATCAAGAGATTCTTTCGGTCATAAAATCAAGTTGACTTTGCAAACATATATGACGATTAAAATAATAATGCGGATTATTATAGCTTACCAACTTACCAGCAGGGTATTATGGTCGTTACTTCGTTGTGATTTACTGTGTTCAACAAAATTGAGGGGATCGAGAGAGAGAGAGGTGATGGAAAATAAGCAAAATAATGCAAGCAATATTTATACGAATTGGAACCGACCCTCATGAAATGGGAAACCTCCCACTCAAAATATTGATATTTTTAATTGCCAATATCACTCCGTTGGACATTAATCCGAATAACATTTACCGTTTTTAGAGGTTTGCTTCTCACTTACCTACTATGCAGTGCTTTTTAAACCACCCTTGCGTATTTTTTTTGAACGAGTCGACCTAGCAAGTTCAAGTTCTGGTTGACGTCATTTATGGAGTAATATATAGGGTTTGTCCGGAAAGTAATAGGACTGAGTCAATTTAAAACAATTTATTGAGCTAATCGTTACAATTCTTTAAAAACTTTCAAAATTTTCTGCGTCGATGCAGCGCTGCCAGCGCGATTTCCAAGCATTAAAGGCGTCACGGAAGGCATTCTCCGGATTAGCCTTGAGAAGCGAGGTGCATGCTGCTTGAATCCCCTTTGTCGTCTCAAAATGCTTGCCTTTACTCGGCCTTTTCAGGCGAGGAAGCAAAAAAAAGTCCGGCGGGGCCACATCTGGGCTATAGGGCGGCTGCGGAAGCATTGGGATGCCGGCCTTGGTGAGATAGCTGTTCACAAGAAAGGCGGTGTGAGCCGGGGCGTTGTAGTGGTGCAACTTCCAGTCGGCTGCGATGTCTTGTCGGACCCGACTGACCTTTCGTTTGAGTCTCCTGAGCACTTCCACGTAAAACTTGGCGTTGACGGTTTGTCCAGGAGGAACAAATTCATGGTGGACGGTGCATTTGATGGGATTTGCACATTCTTCCCTTTTTGGGCGAGGAGACGCCGTCGTGTGAAACTCGGAAGGTTGTCTCTTTGTCTCGGGATCATACTCAAAGATCCACGACTCGTCACCTGTGATAACGTTATTCAAAAATTGGGGTCACTTTCACACATGTTCAAGTTTTCTTGGCACACTTCCACTCACCGCATTTTCTGGTCGCCAGTGAGCACTTTTGGGACCATCTTCGCGCACACCTTGCGCATGCTCAAATGCTGTGTCACAATGTCACGAACCACATATTTTGGTAAATTTAACATCTGAGCAATTAAACGAATGCTTAATCGACGGTCTGAGTTCAAAACTTTGCGCACACGAGTCACATTATCGGTGTTTGTCGAAGTCGAAGGTCTTCCAGCACGGTCTTCATCAGCGACCTCTACCCGGCACTCCAAAAAGGCCTGTTGCCACCGAAACACACCAC